TTTGAAGGCATCTCAGTTTTTTCTCAGCATCATAGATTTAATGTGTATGCTGAAGAAGCCAACAATATTTTTCCTCCCATTCACTGTCACAACTACTTTCAACAAATCTAGAATGAACTCTGCAATTGCAACAAAGGCTCCACATCTCTGAGGACAGAAATCAAATAAAGACCTTAATGTGACAAGGTAAGCAGCACGTGTATATTATGTAAATAACCAGGGCAGACAGTAAATGCTTGAGTTCACAGAACAGATATCATGAATAGCACTACCTTGCTTCTCCTCTTTGTAACTGAATGCTCCTTAAATCTGCTCCCTCCCTCCACGCCTGTAGCACTGGATAGTCTCATGCCTTTCCTCTTCTTTCTGAGACGTGGCTCTACCTCTCCCTCTGCCTTTGTTGGCCATTGTCTCGGTGGCCAGCTTCTTATCTTTGGATCGTACCCAGAGGTAGCCTGGTTGCCATGGGAGATGAATGACCTGCAGCCCTCTTTCATCAATGTCCTTCCCCCATTAGCAAGACTTTTTTTTCCCAGAAACTAGGTCACTGCAAGTCAGCAGCAAAGCTTGCTCAGATGTCTATCACAGCTACACATTCAAGCACTTTATTTCCCCAAAAGCAAACCAAGTAAACAGAGAGACTTGAGTTCTACTTTAGATACTGTGTAATGGAAAAAAGACGTCTCTTTCAACACGTACACTTCCATTTACAGACTAAGGCCGCAACAGCTGCAATTTAATCTTTTTCTGGTTGAGCAGTTCTGCAATTTAAAGTTTATAAAGACCTGATTCTCATGAGTCTGAACTGCATCCAAAGCAGGTTCCAGAAAATAGACTCCTTTCTTGTTAGTCTTGATCCATAATTAAGTGGTAGAGCCAGTAATCCAGGAATTCAAATCCAACCTCACCTGCACAATCCACAATTTACTTGACAGTGATTGCAATTGTAGGTCCCAATATGAACTCACTTCTTATCCGTAGGTTAAGCTAGTTCACCTCTGAATTGACAGGAAGCAGGGTGGCAGCAAAGGAACTCAGCTGCTCAAGGAAAGTTATAAAAAAGACTGACCAATGACACAGGCAGTTCTGTGTCCCAATTCAGAGTTGCTGATCACCCAGAGAAGATATTTCCAAATCTGAGACTCCCACATGGAACAGGTTACTGCAGTTAAACAGCTTAACCTACTTTGTTTCATTCACAAACTGTTTCACAGCTAATTTATTTTCCTTTTTAGGACATCACCATGAATTACTTTGTAAGTACTTATTCTTTATACTTTTTTTTGTTTTGTTTCAGGTACATTTTTGCCACTGGGACAGATAACATCAAAAAAACCCTGAAGGCAACTCCTTTTTGCAATGCAACATGACAAAGTTCTAGTCCTCTTACCTGCTCCTCCTGCTAGTTTCTGTAGCACAGGGGGCCATGTTGAAAAAGCAGGGAGAAGATCTGGGTAGACCCACAGCGTGTACACTGTCCCAAAACAGAACCAAATTTAAAGATGCATCATTAAGAACGTCCCTAGCTGTTGCTTCTTCCCACCTTTAAGACTAAGCAGTACAATACTAACCACAACTAAACACTCTCCTGTTACTCGGGTAATCAAGAAATCTGAAGTCAGAACAATCCTACAATAATTAGTAGATGTGATGGAGAAAAATAAACTGCTAGTTCATTCAAGCTCCTGCGAATTGTTATAAAGGATATAGATAAATGTTTGCATTATTTTCCTTAAATCAAGGACACTTTGAGCTAAAATGCTACTCCAACAGGGAAGAATTGCTGGGTATGGGAAAAATAAAAGCATAGAATATCAGAGCAATTCATTGCCTAATTCCAGGGCTGCCTGGAAGTAGACATCATGCTTCTTGGAATTACACCTTGCAGTGGACAAAAGAGAGAAAAGGGGCTAGGATGCTAAACTATGACTTAAAAGACTTGTTTCCTGGTTTCTAACCCCTCAGCACCTCAACTTCCCTTTTTTGCAGAAATAATCCAGAAATGCCACTGATTTCACGAAGATGTTGGTAGAATAAATGCATTAAAGATTATGAAGTGTACCGATACTATAGTGATAAGTACTTATGACAGACACAAGGAAATCTTTTGGGGAAAGGCTGGTGCCCAGTAAGTAAAGAGGGAGGATTATTCTGGTCCACTCCCCATACCTGTTGGATACAGAGCTTTCTCGATTTCAAACAGTATTGGGTTCCTGTTATTCATGTAAACAGTGATGGCCTCCCCTTTGTGAGAGTGTATTTTGATGACATTAAGCTCTTCCTTGTTTGGAATAAACTCAGCCAATTGTTCAGCACTAAGGTTAGGAAAAGCTGCTGCAACATCAGTTCGTAGTTTTCTCCTGTAATGATAAAATCACAAATGTGTTACAAAGCTGTCTAGACCATCCCTCAAAATAATTCCTAGATCGGTAGTTACTATTTTGTTGGCTGTTCACGAGATTCCCACTTTTTCACAGAAGATAATTTGAAGCATTTGCGTCCAGGTTTACAAATGAGATAGTCGCACGCTGGAAGAATACTGGGAGAAAGGCCAAGTATGCTTGCCCTGCTCATATTCTTCCTTAAACATCTGCTTACAGCTCCTGCTGCTGTCTTTGCCTCTGTTTTGCACTGTGACTTCATTACTGCTCTGAGCTCCTGAGCACAAATCTGGGAGTGTCAGACTTGCTCAGCCCACAGGCTGGGCACCTACAGACTCCTGCAGCTCCGGCACGGAGGAGCAGGGCTGCAGCCAGGTTTCCCTCTCCCCCCGGTTTTGACTGATGTTTAAGACATGGTGACCATGTCATTAAGGCACTCGGTGGGTTTGTCATTCACAGACGTGTCAAGTGAATCAATCAAGTGAATGTCAAGTGAAGATCGGCAACTCAGCCTAGCATCGCTACACAAGTAAGAGGATAAAAGTAAAGAAGGGTCAGCTAGGCCTCGACATTACAATTCATTTATGTCTAGTTTAATGACGACAGCACCTTCAAGCGAAAAGTGCGTTTCATATTCGGACCGGTAGTTCACGTTA